GTCAAAAAAATCGGATTTGATGCGCTTTCGCCTGCAGTGTGAACATAGCCTAAGATTTTTGGGGTCAAGTACAATAATGTCAGTTTTATCTGAATTTAGAAGTCATGTCTTTATCTCTTCAAGACATTCCTGCAGTTTAAGTAATTGGTGTGGGTTATCTGGCTTCATGGATAGACAAAGTTGGGTATCATCTGCAAAGCAGTGAAAATGTATGCTATGCCTTCTAATGACACTGCCGAAGGGAAACGATATGGATCAAACCACTGCAGCGCAGCACCTTTCATACCTACAGTGTCAGTAATTCATAGTGCCTGGATATGCTTTAAAATAAATGTTATACCTTTTACTTTATTTAGTTGACTTTATAGCAGCACTCACAGTGATGACAGACTTTGAGTGAAAACTGTTCAAAAACCCAGTGGTGTGTGTTTTTCATGTCCTGCACTTCCTGATTCAACACTCCTCCATCCTTCCACTTTTGACTCTCATGAGCTTTTCAGAATACTCTCCACCCTCTCAACAGGCTCTCTTTACTCATTGTGCATTTCTATCTCTAGCCTTAGTCACACAAACTTGCTCCCTCTCTCTCTCCATGTTTCTGTGTCCATCTCCGGGTTTGCTGTTCAGTGTTTTGAGTTAGTTCACCCAGTTTATGTTAGTTAAACCTCAGTTTCCATTTTGCCTCTTGCTTTTTTATGTTCAGGTATTAATAAACGGCTTGCCTACTGTTAAACCTCACTCTCGCATCTATGTGTCTGCATGTGTGTCCTCAACCTCCTCACAGCCTGTTGACATTCATCTCCCTGAATATCACACTTTTTCTTTGACAACCTCTCCCTTTAAATACTTTGATGTACTTTATCCTCCGAGAACTCTATGTTCTTCTCCACTTTCACCATGTGACCCTTGCCTCTGCTTTTCTTGCTTCATATCCTTGATTTCTTAAATCATCCTGCAGACCACCATCTAGTTTGACCTGACACCACCTTGAAGTCTCCCATTCACTTTCAGACTGCACCGTCTGTTTCTGCATACCATGTATTTAATCTGTATTCGCGCCCCCCCCCC